TTAAATAAATGGAGCTGGGCACAGTGGTGCATGCCTATAATCCCAGTGGCTCTGGAGGCTGAAACAGGAGAATCATGAATTCGAAGACAACCTCAGCAATAGTGAGGTGCTAAGCAACTCAGTGAGACCCTGTCTCTAAATAAAATACAAAATAGGGCTGGGGAGTGGCACAGTAATTGAGTGTCCCTGAGTTCAATCACCAGTACAGAGAAGGAGAAGAAGAAATGGAAATCTTGGAATTGAAAATACAATTATGTAAAACAAAAATTCACTACAGTTACTCAACAACAGATTTGAGCTGGTAGAGGAAAAAAAATAGCCATCTTAAAAATACATTACTAGGAGGCTGGGGATGTGGCTCAAGCGGTAGCACACTCGCCTGGCATGCGCGAGGTGCTGGGTTCAACCCTCAACACCACGTAAAAATAAAATAAATATATTAAAAAAAAAAAAAAAACATCAGTAGGGCTGGGGATGAAGCTTGTGGTAGTAGATCAATTGCCTAGCATGCCCAAACTAACACGCACAAAGCCCTGGGTTCCATCTTCAGCACCACTTAAAAGAAAAAAGATAGATTAATTTAATGATATAATCTGAAGAAAAGAAAGGAATAAAATACTAAAAAAAAAGTTAACAAAGCCACGGGGACCTGTGGAATTCTTTCAAGCATACCAATATCTACATAACAGAATTCCACAAGGAGGAGTAAGGAAAAAAAATACACTTAAAGAAATAATGTTTGAAAAATTTCCAAATTTGAAAAAGATTAGTCCATACATCCATAAAGTTCAATTCCTTCCAAGTAAGACAAACACAAAAAGACCCATATCTCAACACATCATAAACTGAAAGCTCAAAACTAAGAGACAATGTGAAGACAACAAAAGTAAAACAATTCATCAGATAAGAGAATGCCTTAAGATTATCAGTTAAGAAACAATGGAGAGGTTGGAATTGTGGCTCAGTGGTAGAGTGCTTGCCTCACATGTGTGAGGCTCTGAGTTTGATTCTCAGCACCACATATAAATAAATGATTAAAATAAAGGTCTATCAACAACTAAAAGAATATTTTAAAAAAAGACAATGGAGCTTAGAAGGCAAAGGAAGACATAGGGAAAGTGTAGAAAGCAACAATGCTCTGACAAAACTATCCTCCAAAAATGGAGCTAAAATAAAAATATTATCAGATAAACACTAAAAGACTTGTTAGCAGACCTGCCTTATAAGAAATACTACAAGAACAATAACTGTTGGAGACTTCAATATTCTACTCTCAATATTGGAGGACATAGCACTTGAGCAACATGGTTAACCAACTTGACCTCTTATCTAAACAACACTCCACCCAATAAAAGCAACATATGCAATCTCCCATGGAACATTCTCCAAGACAGATAATAAATATACTAGATCATAAAAAAATCCCAATAAATATTTATCAAAATAGAAAATAAAATGTGTTCTCTGACCACCATAATAGAATTCAACTAAAGATCAGATATCCACAAGCAAAAGAATGAAATTATACTCATGCAAAAAATCAACTCAAAATGCATTAAAAGACTTAAAGTCTTTTAAAATGTATTTTAAAAATCATGAAACTAATAAAAGAGCTGGTGGCACACTCCTGTAATCCCAGCAGCTCAGGAGGCTGAGGCATGAGGATCGCGAGTTCAAAGCCAGACTCAGTAAAAGTGGTGCTAAGCAACTCAGTGAGACCCTGTCTCTTAACTAAAATACATAATAGAGCTGAGGATGTGGCTCAGTGGTCAAGTGCCCATGAGTTCAATCCCTGGTACCAAAACAACAACAACAACAAAACCTACTAGAAGAAGGGCTGGAGTTGTGGCTCAGTGCCTAGCACGTGTTGAGACACTGGGTTCAATCCTCAGCACTACATAAAAATACATACATAAAATAAAGTTATTGTGTCCATCTACAACTTTAAAAAACCCAATGGAAGAAAACAGGGTGAAAGCTCCATGAAACTGGCCTAGGCAAGAACTTTTTTTTTTTAATGTGACACTAAAACCACAGGTAACAAAAGCAAAAATAGGCAAATGAAGTCACATCAAACTAAGAAGCTTCTGCACAGAAGGAGAGCAACCAATTGATTGATGACACAAGCTATGTAATGGGAGAAAATATTTCTGTTTAAATAACACATCTGATAAGGGGTTCATATCCAAAACATATAAGGAATTCAAAGAACTCAAAAGCTAAGAAAAAATATTCTAATTTAAAAATGGGCAAAGGACTTGAACAGACATTTTTCAAAAGAAGACATACAAATGACCAACAGATTCATGAAAAAAGTTCAACATCATTAATGACCAGGGAAATGCAAGTTTAAAATACAATACGAGGGCTGGGGATATAGCTCAGTTGGTAGAGTGCTTGCCTTGCATGCACAAGATCCTGGGTTAAATCCCCAGCACCACAAAATAAATTAATTAATTAATAAATAAATATCACCTCATACCTGTTAAAATAGTCATTTAAAAAAAAAGAAAATTTTGGCAAGGATATGGAAAATTGGGAACTCTTGTACATTACTGATGGAAACACAAACTATTGTAACCATTATAGAGTATGAAGGTTGCTCAAAAGTTTTTAAAAAGAACTACATATGGTTCAGCATCCCACTATTGAGTATATATCCAAAGAATCATCAGCACACTGAAGAGATATTTGTACATTTATGTTCATAGCAGCATAAAATAAGTATTTATTACCATATCTGAAAACTGCATATTTTAATACAAACAACAAAATGAACACTACATTCATTTCTTTTTTTAAAAAACATATTTTTTAGCTTTACTTTATTTATTTATATGTGGTGTTAAGAATCAAACCCAGTGCCTCACACATGCCAGGCAAGTGCACTACCGCTGAACCACACACAGCCCCAGCCCCAGCCCCAGCCCCACCACATTTCTAACCCCACTATTGGCTCACAGAGCATCACATGAGTCAGGCTGGATTCAACAAATTCTATTTGTTCAAATGAACTCCCTCCTCCACCCAGGAAGAGTTGGTGTTCTCAGCAATACTTAATTCCTCTGGTCACCTAGTGGCTCTGGGAAGGCAGGGAGAGGTCTTCAAAGAAATCTAGAGGGGCCAGGGTTGTGGCTCAGTGGCAGAGTGCTCACCCTGCATGTGCGAGGCCCTAGGTTCGATCCTCAGCACCACCACCACCACAACAACAAACAAACAAACAAACAAAAAAAAACATATATATATATATATATATAAAATGTTTATTTAAAAAAAAAGAAAAGAAAATCCGGGAGCAGGTAATTGAGAAGAACAGCTAAGTCAACTAACTACACTTGACCCACTGCTGCTGACTTATAAGACAAAGAAATGATGTGAGGGCTGGGGATGTGGCTCAGGCAATAGCGTGCTCGCCTGGCATGTGCAGGGCGCTGGGTTTGATCCTTAGCACCACATAAAAATAAAATAAAGATGTTGTGTCCACCAAAAACTAAAAAAATAAATATTTTAAAAATTCTCTCTCTCTCTAAAAAAAAAAAAAGAAAGAAATTATGTGAATCAAAGTTTCTCTTTCACCATATTATTTCATAAAATTAAACTAAAACCACAGCCTTTTAGTAGATGGCCTCATTCATTATCTCCTGCCCCAGCCAAGCCTGTCCAGTACTCACACTCACATATCAGGCTCAAACACACTATTGTATTACACAAAAACAGAAGCATCATCATCAAACAAGCCATTTCCAACTTTGATTCATGGTTAAACTACATTTTGTGATAAACAGTCAACTTCTTGTTGAGTTTGTATAAAACTCAAGAAGGTTTTAATAAAAGATTCATCTGTTTGATAGTTATCATCACAGTACGAATGATTGACATCTAGCAAATGCCTATTCCACTCCAAACTATGCGCCAGGAGAACTCCAGGAATGCCAAGATGAGGAGAACTGGGGCCAGGCAGCCACAGGCAAGGTAATGCCCAGGGCTGCCTCTGCTCTCTGGGGGGAAAACTTCAAGAGGCTAGTCTATCACTACCAAATGTTCTCACCATAAAATCTTACATATTGCTAAAAAAATTTAAATAACTGCTCTATAAAAGATAGCACTTGGACCAATACCTAGTGTCTAAATTCTATCAACTCTTCCTTACAATATCTCAAAAATGTTGCTTTCTTATTTTTCCTAATTCAAGTTAAATTACTCTCATCATTACAACAGAAATTTTTTAAAAGCCAAAGGTATCCTAACATAATGCAAATATTAAAGGCTTCAATAGTTACAGGGTCTATGTGACTTTGAATTTTAAAAGTAGAAACAGTAGTAATAATAGCAGAAACAGAATGAGAAAAACTAATGACATGAGTAGGCTGTTTAACTTCTTAAACATCTTTAAAGCTCAATGTAAGAAACAGGTAGGTAGAGTGGCCACTCAGAATCTCCTTTATTGGACAGAGTTTCTCCAGAGAAGATTTATGATGAGTTCTGGTAGCTGGCCCAGGCGATTTTAAGCAATGAAGAAAAACACATTGCAGACTTCAAAATATCCAAGGACTACAGACTGGCCTTATATTAAGATCCACAACCTCTCCATTTCTGTTCCCTACCTTATCTCTCACCTAAAGGGCTCTCTACTTTTTTCCAAAACTTTCTTTACTGTTCAGATACAGCTACTTGAAACTCAACAACCTAAGTACCAAAAAGAATTACATAAGACCTAACACGGTAATATGCATGGAGCTTTTGTTGCCCCACACATCCCAATACCACAAAACATAGAATGTCCCTGTGTGCTAACACCACCAGATCAGCAAACATGGCATTAGAAGCAATTTACAGTCACATCGAATATTTTAACCCTTAATCAGGAAATTTGTACTCTGTGAAAAACTAATGGAATGAGGGAATTCTACAAATAATATTAGTCCATTTTCACTTCTACATATTTTATTTCACTTCCATCTCAAGCACAAAAGAAAAGAAGCAAGCACTTCTCCAATTACCTGTTGTGTAAGACTGCGGAATGGCCAAATCTGTTGACATCATGGTGGAGATTAGGTCTGGGAAGCACTGACCAGCGGTCACAAGCTAGAAGCAAGAAAAACACATCAGAGAGGACTGCCATTCATAATCAACAGAAACTGACAGTTTTCAAGAAGACTGTAGGGCTGGGGCTGTAGCTCAGTGGTAGAGCGCTTACCTCGCACATGTGAGGCACTGGGTTCAATCCTCAGCACCACATAAAAATAAATTAACAAAGATATTGTGTTCATCTACAATTAAAAAAAATTTTTTTTAAAAAAAGGAGAAGAAGACTGTAACACACACACAGCCTTGTAAAACATACCAGTCAACTCTATTAGTCATGCTATGATTGCTGGGTAATAACCAGCAGCAGTGGAGCAGTAGGGTACAAAAGATGGGCACAGGGGCACAAGACAGCAGCTCAGGAGGTTTATTCAAAGCCAGCCTCAGCAACTTACCAAGGCCCTAAGAAACTTACCAAGACCCTGACTCAAAATATAAAAAGTGCTGGGCATGGCTCAGTAATTAAGCGCCCCTGGGATCAATCCCCAGTACCAAAAACAAGATGGGTCATATGGCAATTAGCATCTAACAGCCATGACATACAGGTCTTTCACCCTGCTATCCTTTTGATTGTACCCACAAGAATGTTTCTTCTTCTTTTCTTTTTTTTTTTTTGGTAGTACTAGGGATCAAACACAGGAGGGCCTTATGTACAATGGGCAAGTGTTCTACCACTGAACCACACCCTACCTCAAGCCAAGATAATTTTTAACTTAAAGAAAATTTATTTTCTACAAAGCTGATGTAAGTAAAACGTGAGTTCCACAATTATGTTCCACTCTTCTCTATATTGATTCGCCCAAACTTAGTAGCTACAATGGAAAAATGTAGGTGAAAGTTAAAATTTTTTAAATTTAAACTCATCTAATATTTTAAGTCTTTTTCTAGATCCCCTAGATCTAGAAAAGCTTCCTTTGTCCTGACCTATGCTAATAACTTCTCTTCTGAATGAATAAGAGCAGGTGTTCCTGCACCATACCACCCACATGCTCACTGCCTCACCCTCTGAGAGCTACCTAAGCAGAGCTTGACCATAACCTACACAGTCTTCTCTTATCCAGCCTCTACCCCATCTTCTTCAGGGTGAAGTTCAAAGGCCACAACTGCCCCAGCTTTCTGCCTACCTTGCTTCCTTCCCCCAAACCAGTATGTCAGGATCTCTTCTTCTTCTCCCCTCCCAAAGTCCCTTCTCTGACTCAACGACATAGAACTTTTTTCCTTTGAGTCTCCACATTCATTTTGGTTTTCACCACAACATTTAAATATCCTCAAGATATCCCATCTTCCTCTCTCTCTCTTTTTCTTTCTCTAATGCCTCTCCTAGATATATCTCCCTCTGAGGCACTCAACTTGCCCTTTTCCTTCCCTTCACTAAAGTTTTTAAATAAAAGTCAATGTTCACCATGTATGCACTTCACCCCATGTTATTTCCCAGCTTCCTATAATCTACGTTACTCCTCTATGAATAGAAGGTAATAATAACTCTTGCTAAATCTGAAGGACTTTCAGGTCCTTATTTTACTTAACTATTCTGGAGGCATTAATCAATTCTTCTGAGATCATCCTTCTCGCCTATTTTCCTCCTACTTCCATAACACTATTCACAATCTTCACTCTCTTTTGGACTTCTCTATCCATCTGCCCTGGTGGCTGTTTTTCATTACAGAAGTTCACACCTCCTGAAGCTTCCTACCAGCTCTCTGAGTTGTTCTCTCTTAGATATCCTCAATTGGATATGGTCCAACATTTCCTTCACTCTCTTCTTCTCAGATTGTACTCCTCCATGTTGATTCCCAATCTTGGCAATAGGTAATGGTTCACATCACATACCTGGGATTAAGGATGCTTTCATTTCTTTCAAAACACATCCCATCAAACCTCAAAGTTCCTGGGAGCTATCAAAGTATGTCTATCTCTTTATTCTCAGAGCCACATCTACCACCTTAGTTCAAACCTTCACCAAGACTTCAGCAAGTCTCCTAAATGCCAACATGCCCCCTTCCAAATACTACAAAACGCCACTAATGTGATATTCCTAAGATATACATACAATTCCATCACTTCCTCTGAAACATGCTTCAAAAATCCCACATTCCTCAACATAACATAACAGGCTACTTAAGATCTGAAGGTCCTAGGCTGACACCTGTTTACTTTTCTAGTCTCTTTTGGGGTCACTGCTACCTTTGGTATGATGAATAGGATAGTAATAACTCACAGGCCCTATATATGTGCCTTGGTCACTTCCTGTCTCTGTGTCACCACACATGGACTTCCTCTGTTTGGGAAGTACTAATAGTACATGACTGATTCCCAGTGTTCCTCAGGACCCACAAGAAGGCCTTCCCTGCTGTTGCCCTTACCAGGACTTAGGAATACTTGGTTATGCTCAAATATATTGCTTTCAGTGGAAAAAAAATCTTGAATTGCAACTATATTGTCTGCTCATTTCTCTGTCTCCTCCACTTTTACTCTAAGGGCTATAACTTATTCATTTGATCATCCCCAATGCAGAAGTTCAGGAGCTAGCACATAAATGTCTGCTGAAAGTGAACTGTAGATTTATGTGTATACAATAAAGACAGACAGTATAATGGTAGTTGCAAAGGATAGAGGGAAGGTGGAAATGTTGCCAAATGGATAGTTTCAGATTTATAAGATGAAGACAGTTATGGAGATGAATTGTAGTGCTAAATGCATAGCATTATGATTATATTTAATTCTACCAACTATACACTTTTTTAAATAATTCTATTTATTTATTTATTTATTTATTTATTTTTCTGTGGTGCTGAGGATCAAAACCAGTGCCTCACAGATTCTAGGTGAACACTACCACTGAGCCACAACCCTAGCCCCAAACTATATACTTTTAAAGATTAAGATAGTAGATTTTATGTTATGTGTATTTTACCACAATTAAAAAATATATTTTTAATGAACATCTAATATTTATACACAACACTGGTATTACTTATGAATGAGGAAATACTGCCCTCTGGTGGTCAAGTATATTATCACACCAAGAATACATGTGAGACTTGTTTCACAAGAAATAAAATAAAGCTAATCTTAACCCAGTGCTGGTAGTTACAAAATAACACTACTATGTAAAGCATTTCTAACAAAGAAGAGACTAGTTATCTCAACTCATCTTCAAAAATAAAAAAGAGTGACTTCTAAAAGAACTGAATGTAAAGTAATGCTTCTGAATAAATATATAACTTTAGTCAAATAAATACAAAACTACCATTTGGACCTCTTTCAAGTGACCTGACCGTTTGAACTAGTGATGTTTTCAGTTTCTTTTAAAATGCTGCTTATATAAAAAAACACTTCTGAAGAGACAAATGGCTCTGGGAAACTTACCAATGTCATAAGCCATGAAGTCTGAAGAGAAGCATTTGGCACCATGGCTCATGGATGTGTCATTGTGTGTATTTCCTCCAAACACCAGCATGGTTCCACTCACTATCACAGCTGTGTGCAAGTAACGGAAAAATCGGCTGTCCTTAAGAATGGTCCTTTGAGTTTATTTAAAAATAATAAATATAAGGTTAGTTTTTAAGAATAGTTATTTATCTGCTAATGCAAACATAACCATTTTATTAGCTTCAAACCCAAATGTGCAAATACTTGCAGAATTTTCCTTGTACTTAGCAGCTCTCTCAACAAACATGTAAAACTTTAGAAACTTATAAGAATTTTGGCAAAAGATATTAAGATCCTTAAAATGTTAATACCCCATGGTACTATGTCTCCACTTTCTGGGCAGAAATCATATGAAACAGAGAGAGACCTATGCAAAATACTAATAAGACAAAAGCTAGAAACCAAAACTTCCAATCACACAGGCTCAGTATACTCAGATGAAAAAGTATTATAAAGTCACTAAAAATGATGATTTTTATGACAAAATGTAAATACATTTTCATGGGCATGGTCTCAAATATGTGAGGAAATACAAAAAGAAGAAAAACATTGCTTTAAAATTACATGATTTCATAACTCAGACTAGCTTTACAGTTGTTAAAATCAGAGAACTTTTTATAAGCTGGTCTCTGGTTCAGAGTGAAGCGAGCTCTATCAATTAGGTATCAGCATCCTATTTGATTTTATTGGAATGATACCAGTAGCCGACCCCGAGGGTGACACTTGGATCATCAAGACAAAGTTCAAAACTGAATATATCTTACTGGAGGTACAGCTCAGTGGAGGAGCACTTGCCTCCCATGCATGGGTTCCATCTCAAACATCACCACCAGAAAAAGAGAATATAGTTTATTTAATTATAAATGTGTATACAAACTCAACTATGTAGTTCACTCCTTAGGATTCTGAAGGGAAAAAATTTTACTGTAGTGTTCAGTGTATGAAAACTGGAAATCAATGCCCTAAAACCAAGCAGTTTCATGTTACAAAAATAGGATAATATAACAAAATAAACATCAGCTAATTTATTACCCTATGCTTTTTCCTAATTTCTTTATATACAATGCTAAACAGAATTACCTGCCCGGTCTGAAACAAAAAAAATTCAGCAAATATATTTTCCCAACAATTGCCTCTATAGAATTCACAATTTTAAGCAAAAGCTCAAGAAAAAGCACCCACCACATCTGGGTGTCCACATCGTATCTGTAGAGGTCATCTGCAAGCCGGTATTTATTGGCACTGAAAGCCTTGTAACCGCCGTGGACATACAGGGCTTTGGTCCTGTGATCATAAACACTACTGTGGCCATAACCCCCTTGCACAAGGGCACCCTGGGTTTGCAAAATACTCCAGGTGTTCCTCTCTGGAAAGGGAAAAACAGTCAAAAGCATGCAGGTTCCCCTTCTCTAAAATGCAACTTCAAAATATCTCACAGATGGAGAAGAGATTTCAAGAGGGTTAATACATATAACTTTATCTTTCTGTCTAAAAAAAGAAATCCACTTAAAACTTGTAACAAAGCCATATGGCCAACTCCAATCTGTTACATGTTTTGATGTTCTAACACTCTATATAGGAAAACAATTTCATTAAATTTAACAAGTGAGAATTTAATTCACTATGGCCTTTAAGTGACCAATATAGAGGTGTATATTATGGGCCAACTTTATCAAAATGTCAATTATGGCTGATACTCCCCCTAAACAATAATAGATAAAATAAAATTTAACCAAAGGAAAGATTATATATTAAGGGAAATTCACACTCCATTAAACCAATCACTAAAGGGCCATACAAGTTCTTTTCCATAGTATTTGTAGTTCTGAACTATTTTCATTGATTTTTAACAACCAAACTATTCAGTGCCTTTTTTGGCTCCTTGCATTGACACTAGCACATACACACTACAAAGGGGCATCAATAGCCTAAATTTTACTGGTTATACCCGTGTAATCTGTGTTTCAAGATGAAGAACTGGATCTAGGTTAGCTTGAATATTGTTTAACATCCTAAAAATAAAGGGAGAGGTTTTTAAGTTGATGTTTAAAACATGTCTATTAGAAAAAAATATACCTACCCAAGTCATATTCCTGTACATTGCTTATATATCCATAGAGTGGGCAGTGACCAAAGATAACCAGCATGACCACCCGGCCACTCTTCAGTGTTACAATGTGTGCTGAGTGTCCAACCACTGCATACTGCTCCTTTGCCTTTGGGGTCAATAATAGCCATGATTCGTTATGAATATGAAACACTCTCAACTCATTGGTCACATTGCCTGTTGAATCAATTTTTCCTCCATACATGTAAATATTATCCTAGAGGAAAAAACATAAACAGGATTTAAAAAACATTAAAAATTCAAATCTGAGGGGCTGGGATGTGGCTCAAGCGGTAATGCGCTCGCCTGGCATGCACGTGGTGCTGGTTTCCATCCTCAGCACCACATTAAAATTAAAAAAATAAAGATGTTATATCCACCGAAAACGAAAAAATAAATATTAAAAAAAATTCTTTCTCTCTAAAAAAAAAAAAAATTCAAATCTGAGAACAAAAAATAACCAGTTCAAAAACCTCAATATTGTTCTCAGCTTAAAAAGTATTAATGGGCCATTCCATGAATAATTAGGAAGAGGATATGCAGAAAGGAACAAAAATAAGCAAATCTGAGGGGCCGGGGATGTGGCTCAAGCGGTAACATGCTCGCCTGGCATGTGCGGGGCACTGGGTTCAATCCTCAGCACCACATAAAAATAAAAAAATAAAGATGTTGTGTCCACCGAAAACTAAAAAATAAATGTTAAAAAATTCTTTCTTTCTCTCTCTCTCTCTCTCTCTCTAAAAAAAAAATATATATATCAAATCTGAGAACAAAAAATGACCAGTTCAAAACCTCAATATTGTTCTCAGCTTAAAAAGTATTAATAGGCCATTCCATGAATAATTAGGAAGAGGATACAGAAAGGAACAAAAATAAGCAAATCATATTTTATGTCTCTAAAACTTTGTCATTTTCTTGGGCTTGCTTATGAGATCTTTTACATAATAAAATAACTTGAAAAAATAAAGTTGCTTCATCCTACCACATACCTCCAAAAATGGGAGGTGAAAATTATTATTTAGTTGCTTGACAATTCTTGGCTAAACCTGGAATGGCATAAATGCTAATCAATACTTTTTAATCTACAGTTCTAACCACTTGGTATCACAATCAATAATATCTCAGTATGGTTAGATCCATTAAAATCTCTTGGGTTCAAGAAATTGCAGCTTCAATTCCATTTACAACTTAGCCAATCAAATAACTCCCACCGCCAAAAGAAAGTCTGCCCCAATTAAAAAAACAACATTCAATAGCTTTTCAACTGCATAATACATAAATTAACTGAGGAAGAGTCGAGTTTCATGCTTAGTACAGAGTGCGGGTATTTTTACCTGATATAAAGCCAAAGAATGACCATATCTAACAACCACATTGTTCACAGAATGGTTTAGTGGAAGCCATTCCCTAGAAGCAAGGTCATACCTACAAAACAAACAGATCAAATTTTTATCCAAAAGACAAAACAGAATATCTTGTACTCTTTTATTTGTAACAATCCAGTTTTGAGATGTTCATTAAATCAAGGACACAGGGAGGCACCAGTTACCCTGGCAAATGTTACTGACACCTGAGCCCACTAGGTATCTGAGAATTCAGGAAGGGACGGTGGACTACATAGCACTGGGACAAGAAGGAAATAAAAGTCTGGTGGAAGCTTCTAATGCCTCATCTGAAAATCTCTTCTGTAGTCTAAATCACTTGAAGATTGCATCATACTAAAGGGACTTAAACTTAATTTATTACAATAACTTTTCCTTCAATCCATCATAAAAAACTGAAGATAAATAAAAGGAAATTACTAGAAAATTTCCCTTTTCTTTCATCTAATTGATTTTAGTCATACTTTTAAGGAAGGCTGAATATATTATAGCATTTCAATTATACTATAAATTTACATACTGATCTTTTGAAATACAAACATGCCAAAATGAAAATAATTTAATACTCTTGCCATACAATTTATACTTACCCTTGCATTACTAAATAATCATATTCAACATCTTAACATATTTAATTTTGAGTATTTTTTTTCAAGAAAAATATCACTGAGTTGCTATTATAAATCATACACATTCATTATGAAGAAAACAGCTAAAAGTTTAAAACACAACCCCACATTCTATTACCTAGAAATAAATATTATTAACAGTGAGTAAACAACATTCCAGTTATCTTTCTATGCACATAAACAGGGGGAAAAAGATTAACAAAAAAAATTTATATACAGGGATAAATCCTTAGATGATACTTTTAAAATGTTGATTTTTTTTTTGCACGGCGGGAGGCAACATTGTGTGGGATGGGGGTGGTACTGGGGAGTGAATCCAGGATCATTCTACCAATAAGCTACATCCACAGCCCCCCCTTTTTTAAAATATTTTTAGTTGTAGATGGATACAATACCTTTGTTTATTTAGTTGTTTTTAACATGATGCTGGGAATCAAACCCAGGGGCACATGCATGCTAAGCAAGCGCTCACCGAGCCACAAACCCAGACCCATCCACAGCCCTTTGTAAAATTTTACTTTGAAACAGGATCTTGCTAAGTTGCCCAGGCTAGTCTCAAACTTGTTACCCTCCTGCCTCAGCCTCCAAAGTAGCTGGGATTACAGGTATGTGGCACCCCCACACAGCTAAAAGTATTAATTCTAACTTTTCTAGAATTAATAGACAAAAAAAAAAAAACAAAGGTCTTATTGTACTTTAAGTAAATGTTTCTTTTCTCTGAGAGTATACCTGGATAAACCAACTTTTTAAAAATTATCAAAAACATTCCTTTTTTTAAAAAAATACCTTTATTTTGTTTACTTATTTTTTTTAATGTGGTGCTGAGGCTCGAACCCAGTGCCTTACACATGCTAGGCAAGTGCTCTACCACTGAGCCAAAACCCCAGCCCCTCAAAAACATTCTTAAAAGAAAATGTTAGAAAAATTTTATCATAACATCATAGCGAAAACAGCTGTCTATCAATTAAAAATGAATTAATAAATTAATAAATCATATCCATGTAACCAAATAAACTCAAGCAATATATAGCAACAAAAATCTCAAAGAATGTTAAGCTAAATAAAGGACAAAAATGCAGAATATTATTTCTAGTTTTTCCCCCAGTACTAGGAATTGAACTCAGAGGCACTTGACCACTAAGCTATACTCCTAGGCCTTTTTTATCCATGTTTTTCAAAATCAGTACGTTATAGTTGTACATAACAATGGGTATCTTGTTGCGTATTCATACATGCACACAATATAACAATATAATTTGGCCAGTATCACTCCCCAGCACTTCTTTCCTTCCTCCCCATCTCCCACCCCCTTGGTCCCTTTCTTCTACTGAACTCCCTTTGATTTTCATGAGATTGCTCCCATCTTTCTTCTCCTTTTCCTCTCTAGCTTCTGCTTATGAGAGAAAATATACCACCCTTGACCTTCTGAGTTTGACTTATTTCTCTTAACATGATAATGGTATCTAGTTCCATCCATTTCTCTGCAAATGACATAATTTCATTCTTCTCTATGGCTGAATAAAACTCCATGCGTATATATCCCACATTTTCTTTATCCATTCTTCTGTTGATGGACACCTAGGCAGGTTCCACAGTTTGGCTATTATGAATTGTGCTGCTATAAAAATGGGTATGCACATATCACTGTAGTGTAATTACTGTAATTCTTTAAGAAAAATACTGAGGAGTGTATAACTGTGTTATATGGTGGTTCCATGACTACTCTTTTGAGGAATCTATAGATTTCCATAGTGGTAGTATTAATTTACAATCCCACCAACAGTATAATGTTCCTTCTCCTCCACATCCTTTCCAGCCTTTTTACTCTTGATGACTGCCATTCTGACTGGTGTAAAATGAAATCTCAGTGTAGTTTTGATTTGCATTCTATAATTACTAATAATGTTTAACATTTCTTTATATATTTGTTGGCCATTTGTATTTCTTCTTTTGAGCAATGTCTGTTTAATTCATTTTCCCATTTATTAATTGTATTATTTTTGGTGTAAAGTTTTTAAAGATTTTTTATATACTTTAGAGATACTTATCCAGCCAAGATTTTCCGTATTCTGTAGGTTCCCATTACACTCCTAATTGTTTCCTTCGCTGTGCAGTTTTTTAATTTGATGCCATCCCATTATTAACTCCTTGGCATTATTTCCTGAGCTTTATGGATATTGAGAAGTCATTGCCTATGCCTATGTGTTGGAGTGTTGACCCTATGTTTTCTTGTAGAAGTTGCATAATTTCTGGTCTAACTCCCAGGTCTTTGATTCACTGTGAGCTGATTTTTATGCAAGGTGAAAGATAAGGTCTAGTTTCATTCTTCTATATATGGATAACCAGTTTACCCAACACCATTGGTTAAAAAGGCTGTCTTTTCTCCAATGTATCTTTTTGGCACTTTTGTCAAGAAATGACTGCAGATGTGTGGGTTTGTCTCTGTGTCTGTTTGTATGCCAGTACCATGCAGTTTTTGTTATTATAGCTCTGCAGTATAATTTGAAGACAGGTACTCTGATGACTCCAGCATTGCTTTTTTGCCTTAAATTTGTTTTGACTATTCTGAGTCTTTTTTTTTTCAAGTGAATTTTAGAACTGTTTTTTCTAGCTCTGTGAAGAATGCCTTTGGTATTTTGATGAGGATTGCACTGAATCAGTATACTGCTTGTGGTAGTATAGTCCCAGGACTTTTTATTATTTCAAAACAGGGTCTCACAAAAGTTGCTGAGGCTGGCCTCAAATTCTTCTCCTTCAGCCTCCTGAGTAGCTGGGATTACACCTTTGCACCATCATACCCAGCCAAAATGTTGTTTTTTATGAAGACTACAACCAGAAAATATAGTAATACAACTTTTTTATTGGTGGTGGGGGGGTACCAGGGATTAAACTCAGGGGCACTTGACCACTAAGCCACATCTCCAGCCCTATTTTGTATTTTATTTAGAGACAGGGTCTCACTGAGTTGCTTAGAGCCTCACTAAGTTGCTGAGGCTGGTTGTGAACTTGAAATCCTCCTGCCTCCATCTCCCAAGCTGCTGAGATTACAGACATATGCCACTGTGCCTGGCTTTCAACATATTTTTAAGAAATGCAGGTGAACAACTGAAACCAAAATCAGGACACTGCCTCTGGTACTTGAGAAGAACATACCAGAGTCCTCAATTGTATTCACAATGTTTTATTTCCCAGTATAGGTGCTAAATGCATTAGTATTCATTATATTTTATCTAAACTTTTCCTTTTCACTAAAATATTTTATACAAGATCTGAAGCAAATATAACAACATGGTGACATCTATTAAATGCAAATAACACATAAATTAGTATTGGCTATTTACTTTGTATATTTTTGGAATAGTCCATTTTTTAAAAATACATGAAAAATTATTTAAGCTTTAGTGTTATCTAATCATTATACATTAAGTGGCTAATTATTTAGTTTTATTAATTAATTATTTTATTACTAATGTTGTTTGCTCAAGTTTTAAATGTATACACAATTTACTTTGGGGCACTCTACTAACTTCCTGCTTTGAAAGTTGAAAATCTTAGCATTAACATTTCTAATCCCATTTCTTCTCCCTATTTTTGTTACATTGACACCACCACATGTTCATAACATTCACATTCCATTCTATAATTCCATAGATATTTACTACAGAATCTGTGTCTGAGCTCAGGCAATCTTCTCGCAGTCATTCTACCATGACTTCTCCTTGAGCTCTTTAATACTTAATTGGCTGATTTCACAACCAAGTAGTATTTTGTAAAAGCAGCACTCATCAGGGCTGGAACTATAGTTCAGCGGTAGAGTGCTTGTCTAGCACATGCGAGGTACTGGGTTCGGTACTCAGCACTACATAAAAATAAATAAATAGATATTTTTTAGAAAGAAAGAAAGAGCTTGTTTTCTATAAAAATGTATGCATTTTTTTAAACCAAGAAAAACACTTAAAGGAAACAGGAAATATGCTTTCAAATAGGGTTAAGGGGAGAATATTAAATAGGTGTGATGCAAGTTCCATCTAATTTTCAGATTTGGGGGTAAGGAGAACATCTTTTTGGTATAAGATGCTAAAAGTAACTCAGAAAAGAATCCCACTTCTGCTGGGATTGTGGCTCAGTGGTAGAGAACTTGCCTTGCATGCGTGAGGCCCTGGGTTCAGTCCCCAGCACCACATAAAAACAAATAAAATAAAAATAAAGATATTGTGATCATCTACAACTAAAAAAAATATATATTAAAAAAAAAAAAGAACCCCACTCCTAAACCTACCATTCCTCATTTTACAAAGAGGAAACAATCTCAGAGACTGACAGTTGTGGAATGAATATGCTGTTAACAACAAGAGAAAAAATAGCAGTAATAGTTCAGTGCATTTTCCACATATCCTTTCACAAATTTTTGGTGAGTTATTCTTCTAAGTTGCAAAAGGTTATTTCACTATAATACTTTTATTAGTCATTAAATTTAATTAAAAAGACTCAAGAGAAGGAAAAAAATTGATTACATTTTCCAGCGTATTTGCTCTTTTCATTCTGTTCTGTTCCTGAGGTTTTTAGACTCCTTTTTTCATTTGATTTCTGTTTAGAGACCTTCCTTTATCACTGTTATAGGAAAAGTCTACTGGAAACAAATTATGTTTTCCTTCATTTTAGAGTGTCTTTTGATTTCCTCTTATTTCTTTTTTCCATGTTTGTTTCTAATGTCTTAGTGTCCAGGATTTTTAACTGTACTTACTGTAAAAACGGGAAAGTAACCTTCATTTCTTTATGATTAAAAACAAAAATCCCTCTTTTCATATTCTATTTCTAAAGCATTTATAAACCCTGTGTCCTTCAAGTTTGTCTTCAATTCTGAAATTATTTTGGAATCTAAAATTCTTAACTTCTAAACAATATTTTTTAATTTAAAAAATAAAATTCTTAACTTCCAGCCAGGCATGACAGTGACTGCCTATAATCCTCCCAGCAATTTCTGGGGCTGAAGGAGGAGGACTGCAAGTTAGAAACCAATCTCACCAACTTAGTGAGACCTTGTGTCAAAATTTAAAAATAAATAAATAAAAATTAAAAAAAAAAAAAAAGATCTCAGAATGTGCTCAGTGGTAAAGTACCCCTGGGTTCAATCCCAAGAACTAAAAAAAGAAAAAAAAGCAAACAAACAAACCAACAATCAAATTTCTGAATTTTTCTAGTTCTGATTAGATTGTTCTTGCATACTATATATTTAGCTTGTTTTGGAATACTATATTGTAATTTTCATCAGTTTTATATTTTTCTATATTTAATGCTTTCTGTATGAATGGGCTTATTTTATTCCATACTCTCTTTTTTCTGATAAGAACTTTCCATGATATTTAACCTTGATATTTTTAAGTAAAATTGCTTCTCCCTGGAGCTGGGGTTGTAGCTCAGTGGTAGAGAGCTTACCTCGCATAGGTGACACACTGAGTTCTATCCTCAGCATTACATAAAATAAACAAAACAAAGAAATTGTGTCCATCTAAAACTAAAATTAAAAAAAAAAAACTGCTTCTCCCTGTGTTTTCACTGGGTAGCTGCAGGATAGTTCTACCTTCTCAGCTCTTGAGCTCACTCTTTGCTGTTGCAATGGAATGTTCACACAGATGGCAGTTCCCATGTTGAGAACACCTCACTCTGTTCCCTTCTCACTGAACCTTCTCTCACTTAGTCTCCACTATCCCTGTCCTGTTCATTATGAATTCTATTCTCAGCATTTCTCCTCAGTATGGACTTGCTCCTGCAAAGAAATTGTGGCTGGGCAGTTAAAGAAAGATAGAAACTTTGGCTGGTTCACTTTGAGAATAAATACAGCACAAACTGCTCCAGACCCTTCAAATTCTACTATGGATCCCTTGAACTTACTCAGCTACTAGAATATACAACATCCTCCAGTCCCAGCTGTGGCTCTCAACATGGTTTGCTAAGCCCATGAGTGAGTACCTTACAGCCATTCTGGATGCCACGGGCCTCCCACTGCTGCTCTTCTGTGCTACTCACTCCTGCACAGAAGGTGACCCATGCAGGGCTTATAGCCATCAACAGTTCTGCCCCACACAGTTGAGAGTAAACCTTCAGACAAAATTTTCTTACAGATGTTGCTCATTTGTCTGTTTTTGTTTATTTCACAGTACTAGGCACCCTACCACTGAGGTACATCCCCAGACTTTTTTTATTTTGAGTCAGGGTCTCACAAAGTTGGCCATGCTGGCCTCAAACTTTAAAACCTCCTTCCACAGCCTCCCAAGTGGCTCATTTATAATGCACATACCACCATGCCAGGAACTCAGGTGTTTATTTTGCTATCCTATTTGTTCTGTACTAGTGACTGTATTTCATAGGATTCAGAAACTATACCACAAGTGCCATATTTCTATCTTGAAAAATAGATGCTGGTGTTTTATAATCTTCATTAACACAAAAGGCCTAAAATAAACTTTCACATCACAAAATCACAATGAGTAAATATTCACAAATTTCTTCTAAAAGAAAGTCTCCCTACAACTATTAATTCAATTAACACATAAAATACTCCCCTATATATATATAGCCTACTATAAACAAATAAAGTAAAATACCAGAAAAAGTATCTCAAAATGATAAATTAGCACATGGCTTAAAAATGAATACTTTGGGGCTGGGGCTGGGGCTATATAGCTCAGTGGCTTGCCTAGCATGTGTGAGGAACTGGGTTTGATCTTTAGCACCACATAAAAATAAACAAATAAAATGAAGGCATTCTGTCCATCTACAACTACTAAAAAAGTTTTTTTGCTAAGAATAAGGTTAACGAACAACGTATTGTGGTGCTCAATTTCAAAGATTCAGTATATCTGAAAAGGCTTGGAAGATTTTAGTAACAGGACTGATGATTTCTTTTCCTTTTGCTTATTTATGCTTAATTAGAAAAACGAAAAACTAAACTTCTTACAAAAAATTTTAAAATAACTTACGCTAGAACCATGCTGTAATCTGAGTGGTTGAACATATATCCTCCAACAATCCACATTATGTTTCCATTGACCACAGCTTTATGAGATGCTCTGGGCAGCTTTAAGTTTGAATATTCTTCTCGAGTCCAAAATGACTGGTTAGCTGGCACAGGAACCGAACATCCAGGGCCTAATAAAACATAATAAATTAGCTTCACTGAATGCACCTGGAAAGTTTACTGCACTTCATTTTAAACATATAAATGCGAAATTTTTCTAAAGAATATTTAGTCTCTAATTTAGCATCTGTATTTCAAACAAATTTCTTTGTGGTTTTAATTCACTCACAGTATTGATCCCAGGAATCCCTAATAAAATTCAAAATCATATACTTTCTAATAATGACTTGACCATATCCAATGTAGGTATTTCAGTATCAAAAGTCCTACTTTATCAGCTTCCGGTGGGAAGACTACACAAAGAAATTATTAATTCAAATTGAAAAACCTAAAATGTAACAACTAGACCTAGGAATGATAATAAAACAAACAAACAACAACAACAAAAAACTACCCATCTTTTAGTAAAGCAAAGAACTCAACAGAGGTAAGATACAACAACAGATGTAAGGTCTGGCTTCTGCTACACTCTTTGCAAGTAGTTAAAAATTGGTACTCAAACATGCCAATTGTTAACTACTTAGTATCACCAAACCCAACAGATGAAAGCATGTAAACACACATATTTCCTTTTAAAATGAAAAGGTTCTGAGGAAGGAATAAGTATATAAACAAAGTCATCAAATCAACAACTGCCCTTAGCCCTTATGGAATCCCCTAAAGCACCTTTAACAAGCTATTTCTCTAGATAATAACTTTAGGTGACTGCTTTAAGATTCTAATGCATAATCAATTTTCTCAGAACATGGAGAAAGTTTTAGGGGAAATAGCATTATTGTCAGCTCTTGTCCCATCTCCAAACTTGGTTCTATGCTATGTCCTCTTATGGCTGAGACCAAGTTCTTAAAACTTTCATAAATGAACTGCAAAATGGAAAACCTCTCCACAATTCTAAGGAGACCACAACCACATAGGTGAGACATTAAAAGATTTGTAGGAAACCACATAAAGGGAGGAGAAAGCTTACATGACCCCTGATATATGATGAACATAAGTTGTACAGATGCTAAGAATAAGGTTAACGAACAATGTATTAAACTAGAAACAATTTGTGAATGGAAAGAAAAACAAGAGAAAGAAACTCCTACCCTGCCATTCAGAGAAGCAGGAGCATCCTCGGACATCACTTGAATTGCAGATGCCTCGATGAGGAAAACCACAGTTGTTTGTACAGTAAGGAATGTCACACGAGTCACCTTTCCAGTTTTCGGAACATTCACACTCCACATTGCCACTGCTGTTGCTGGTCTTACATTCTCCTCGGCCTGAGCAATTATTCGGACACATGTCAAAACTATAAAGACAGTGAAAAAACTAAGTCAACACAAACCAACACGCCAATGAACTTGGCAGAACTTCCTCCTACACAAGGCTTAAGGATCTCCCTGTCTCTTCAGTTCATTCACAAGCATAAACGCAGTGTTTACCACTCAACCCAAAAAGGGTCCCTCCACACTGCACAGCTTGGGCATGTGAGCTCAAACCCACCCTGGTGGAGGCTCATGAGAATAGGGCAAAAAAACAAGTAACTCATAAAGTTAAAGAAATCACAAGGAGAGAAGAGATTTGATCACATTTGTTCAGATTTAGCTCCTCAAGTCTGGGACAACTATCCTATTCTTCTCGGTAGCCCACTAGTGACAGGCGCTACACAACTGCCAAATTCATGTTTGCAAGCGTGGGAAGGAAGAGGATAAACTTCCAACTACACTCATAGTACCAGTAGCCCTCTGAACATCTCTGAAAATTTGTAAAACTTAAGATTATTGCCCAAAATCTTATATTTTAAATTATTTAGTAAGCTGACCCATTTCAGATGGAATGGAAGCAGGTTTATTTTAACAATGTGTGAGTTTAACCATAATATATCTCTTATTAACATGGCTTAAGATAACTATATAGATAGTGCTTAGAAATAACACAAAGGGGGCAGATAAATGAATTATCATGATACTCCAAAAACATAGACTTGTTCTACTACTGAGTACATGGCAACTGTTAATATTTATTAAATTGTACTTACCAAAAAAAAAAAAACCAGTGTTTTTATCTATAAGCAAGAAATGCCCCTCTCTTCCAGGAGAAGCTCAACAGCAGCAACACCTGGGTTTAAACTATAGCCCCACCACTACCACTTATGTTAACAACTTATTTAATCTTTTCACCCATTTCCTTAATTGTAAAATATATTAAAAAACTTTAAATGAGAAACCCATGTAATCTGCTTACTGAAATTCCTGGCACAGTGTAAGTCCTCAATATTTTAATATTATTATACTATTATAACATAATTATTAAAACATTTCATTTAAATACAATCACAAATATTAGATTTAAATATCTTACTTGTAAGTGATATTAAATCCAGTCAAATTATAAGCGGCATCGCTAAAAAAATGCAGAAGGGCATAACCTGATGTGACAACCACCTCGGGAACTGTCTCATTGCCATCTCTTTCAGGAACAATGAGGCCACTGAAATGGAAGCACATTTCTTATAGCACAATGTCAGCTGTGTTAAACTATAGCAGAGACAATTCAAAAGTTCATCTTTACAACTTTAGAAAGCACATGCCGGCAGAGGGGTGAATTCATGTGATGGAAGCACACAGCTACCCTATTAGTTGTCCTTCTTTTCCTAGGTTTCCTTTATTCTGGGTTCCATTTCTATAAAATTTGAAATCAATGGTTCTATTTTTATACACCTTTTAATAATTCTGTAAATCTCCACAATCTTGTAAAGTAGTAAACTTTATGAGTTGATAAATGGTAAATATGTAGTACTAAAAGACACAAAATATTGTTAAATAAAATATTTATTTACATAACAATATAAAGAAGCTAGAAAAACCCACAACTCCGACACTATTGGCATTCTGATGCATTTTCTTTCCCTAATTGAAACCACTGGCATTTTATGTTCGATTTTACACATAGCATACCATAGGCCTTCCCTGTCACTAAAAGCTCCCTAGGCTCTCCCAAGGACCTCACTCAGAGGCCAGCACATAATATTCTAACTAAGTACTGCTTTGGGGCCAATAAATCCAGGTGAGGAAAAAAATGACTGAATCGAAGGGTCTTATTTTCCAGAAGTGAGATGCTCAAATGAAATCCTGTCTGATCAATCCAGATTGTCTGATCACACCACCTCACACCACCAACAAGAAGGATTACCAGTTCTAAGTTAGCTTTGCTAATTTAATACATGACTTATTGTGGTTTTGCATTCTTTTCTACTCCTGAGGTTAACAACTTTCCTATGTCTACTTGCCATTTGCATTTCTTCACATGCTCTGACTTTCCCACTATCAATTCACCTCCCCCACCATCACATTCAGCCAGTGCCTAGGTCCTTACCAACTCCCATGGAATCTGCTGCACACGCTCCCACTGATGAATGAACATCAACTAGTACTCTCCCCTTCACTTACTCACTCTTAACCCCATTCCCTTCCTAGAGCACACACCAGGTAAACTCCCACCTCAGAGTCATAATCATCTTAAATGCCCATTCACCCTGACCTAGTGATTCTCTTTCTTTGTAGAGGACATATGCTCTCATTCACAAAAGAAAATATACAAGAATCCTAATTGCAGCATCACTCAGATGGTAACACGTTGAAAGCATCAAAGTGCTCATCCACAGGGAGCTGCTGAATGAGGCCTTGGGCATCAGGAGCTCACCCTGGCATTCTGATGGGGCAGGAAGGTGCAAAACAACAGGCCTAGATGATGGGTACCATTTACCTGAATGTATATAAGTGCAAGAAGACTACATAAGTGTGGAATGAAGACAAGAGGGCATGGGATTTTCATTTAATTTTTAATATGAAAAGAGAACTCTAGGAAACCTAACACTCAGAAGGCACCCCAGGGGTGTCCAGAAAACACTGACATATTTTCTACCAGGTATTCAACTAACAAATATTTACTAAGTGCTTACTACATGGGAGGCTCTGTTCTAGGTATAAGGATAACGACAGTGAAACAGACAATGTCCCTACCTCAAGGAGTTCAGTTAGAGAAACAAATAAGCCCTGACACATCCTCACATGCAAGTGTGTATTCACACAGGCCAGGCAGAGATCATACCATGAAGGGAAACAGGGCAGAGAAGAGAACAGGAGGTACTGGGTTAGAAAGGCAGTTGGGAGGGCATTCAGAAGACGTGACATTTGGTCAGAATCTTAAGTGAAAGTTTTGCCATCACCACGTTTTCATTCACTTTACACAGAGGTCGAGCAGCCTTTATCCAAAAGCTTGGGACCACGTGTGTTTTAAATCTCAGATTTTGTCAGATTTGGCAATATCTGCATATACATAATGAAATATCTTGGAGAAAGGACACAAACAGAAACAGAAAACTGATTTACATTACATGTAAACCCTCCAGACATATAACCTTAAGGTGATTATTTATATAATATCTTTAATAATTTTGTGCATAAAACAAAGTTCCATGGTGTGGAACTTCCCACTCGTGGCATCATGTCAGCATTCAAAAACTTCTGTGATTTGGAACATTTCAGATTTCTGAATTAGGGATGCTCCATCTGTACCAGAATGTTGAAGGGATAAGTACTTGCAAGAGCAGGGCTTCTTACAAACAGGTATGTCAAAAGCAATCTTCCCATAATATAGGCACATTCCAGAAAAGATCTGGGACTGCAGTCACAAGTCGGAGGTCCTTGCACTCTCTGTTAGTCCAGCATGAATTTCAGGATCAAAGTTACTTGAGCTCCAATCCTTGCTTCATGTCACTAACATCTTTAAGCTCCAATTTCCTCAAATGCACATAGGAGGAATCCTGTCCAGCTCACAGTGACATCATGAGGATGAAATTGGTGGAGCATATGCAGGGCTTAAGCCTCCCACTAGGAGGTGCTCAGTAAGTGATATCTGGTGGCCTTCTTCATTTGGTGGGGACATTTAAATATGCAGGATGAATGACTTTACCAACTGGAGAAAGTGGATCAGCTTTCCCACTGTCAGGGAGGCTTAGGAATTTGCTACTATTTGCTTCAAAAATTTGAAATTGTGACAGCTTTGCAGTGTGTGGATTTCTCCCAGTGTGAAAGCAAAACAACTGGTTTAAGACAAAAATAAACTTTTACAGAGTAAATGAACAAACACAGCCTCCTTCAGCACATGAGACAAAGGAAGGCCTGTGGGTGAGGAAGGCATGCTACAGGCTTGCCCCAGCTGTCACCCTGAGCAGCCTCCAATGGGAAGTTGGTAAGTGCAGGTGCAGCCTGGGCTGTAACTACTTATTAAACTGGAGCAAATCAAAAATGGCCTGCCCTCAGGTTGCTCAGGATTTTATATTTTAAACACAGACCATCATTGTTTAGAATCAATTGTAAAAAATCATAGAAGTAGATAGACTTGGCCTGTTTTCAGAAGGTATTCTCTGTTCACAGTCTTAACAATTGCATCATCACAATTTTACTTGCTTCAAAAAATAATAATTCTAAGGCTGGGGTTGTGGCTCAGCGGTAGCACACTTGTCTGGCATGTGTGAGGCACTGGGTTCAACTCTCAGCACTACATATAAATAAATAAAATAAAGGTCTATCAACAACTAAAAATATATTAAAATAATAATAATAACTCTAAAAGGAACAGTGTTCTTTTGAAGAATGTTCTCAGGGAGGAAAATCACTGTCCTGCTGAATCACCACAACCACCTTTGCATCTCCTACCTACATACCCTAGCAGAATGCCTGCACCACAAGGTACTCATGCACCTGTGGAATACCCAACAAATCATAGTGCTACAGGACTGCAAGAGTCTTAAATTGCTTTAGTGGTTCTCATATTTGTATGGTAATGCAATTCTGTTAAAGTGATTTTATTTAGAAATCCAATATATAAAAGATAAATGTGATCTACTGGTTTGAAGTCAAATGAAACATAGTTTACAATAAGCCCAGAGAGAATACAGGTTAAACTAACACAATAAAACAACTTCATTTTCGGTTTCGGAAGCTGCGTTCTAGAGCATTTGAATGATGTACTCAAGAGATTTGGGCAGACACATTTTCTGAATCTTGCTTAGTTTTTTTTCTTTTTGTTGTTTCTTGGTCCTGCCTGAACATCCTACTGCCAGCCTCCCTCTACTCTGGACCCTCAGCATATCACCAATTGGTTGAATCCTCTACCCAAAGTCCTCTTGTCCCAACTGTACTCCATTCCTATACAAATCATCTTGTGGAGAGACTCTTATTTGAAATTGTTTTGCTCACCAGTGCTTTAAGGGTTTTGTGTTTCAGGTAAATTCCAATTGTTTGCATACTGTTTTATTTTAATTTTAGGAAATTAATAGTCAAATATGCCATAGATTAAATTTTAATCAGTATCACTTAAACAACTCTCTGTACATATACTTCAGCTTCTCTTAAATATCACTGATTAGAACAAGCACTGCTTCCTATTAGTTTACTTGTTTCTATTTCAATTCACATGTCTGCTCATTGAATACACAGTTTGGGGAAACCATGAAATTACACACATCTACTTGGCACATGTTCCTACAAGGGATACTGACAAGCTAATTCAAAATGCCTGGCACATAATAAGGCTCCATGAATTCTAGTTAACAAATTAAGTAACACGTGAATCCACAGCAAGTACTATGTTCTCCTAACAGCATACTTAAGTTTTCATGCTTTGCTAAAGTTTGAGATGTCTCTTGCTATAATACAAGGCATATTTCAAAGGCTGACATAAATGTATATGGGCCCAACACTTGCTCTTAGTCAACAGCAGGTAAACTTGGTAGTATCATCACGACTTAAATACGTAGCAGACCTATCCAAGGTCTGTTCTTTGGCCCTGTACATGAACCTGTAAATATCCAAACATAGCTGGGTATGGTGGTATACTTCTGTAATACCAGCCAATCTAGAGACTGAGGTAAGAAGATAACAAGTTTGAGGTCAAACAGCAACTTCATGAGGCCCAGTCTCAAAGTAAAAAGTAAAAAAGGCTGCAGATGTAGTAAAGCACCCCTGGGTTAAAATCCCCCAGTACCAATAAAATAAAATAAATACCAGAAAATAGCCTACAGTCTCAGCTCAAAGTTATATCCAGAAAGCTTTCTAAGCAAAAAGCGTGGAGAAGTACAAAGGCACATCAGTCCCCTAACCTCTTGGCCATTCACTCCTTATGTACTCCTTATTGCCTCTCTTACTCATGTGAGACATCAACTGGACTAACACCAAATAAAGAACACAAAAAAAATTGTTGGTTTTTTTAAAGTCAAGAAAATAAAATCTTTCAAGGAACAAAATCTACAAAGTCAGCTTCACATGTAAAACTAAGCACTATAGTTCCATAAGGGATATACATTTTAGAAAAATATATTTTTAGAAGAATACACTTATACATGAGAGGATCTTAAAAGTTTTCCTCACCCATACAGAAATACAGGTACACACGCACATGCACAAAATTATAACCAGACTTTAATTCAACAAATAATTCCTATGAACCTATGCAATGAGAAAAACACAAGAACAAGATGGGCATGGTTTCTGAGTTAAAGTTTTCACATAAATATTCAGTATATTACTCACATTTATACATTTTTTAAAAAAGTAAACTTCACCCCCACCATGAAGAGCAGATAAACTTGATAATACTATCATAACTTTACAGATTAGGAAACTGAAGAGAGATCAAGCAATATGCCCAGAAACCAATCGAGAAGCCCAAGAACCAAGTCAGGACTAGCACATAAACGAATGGACTCCAAACTTAGTATTCATTCCATCAAATGAATGTATTAGGTGATACTACAGTGAATCCTATAAGAAAGCAATGCAAGACAGAGATTTAAATTCAGAAATAATATAATGATAACCGATTATTTATATGACTGAGCTTACCTAAAGGCAGCAATTAGTGGTGCATAAATTGAGTCCCCATCATAAACATATAAATGGTCCCAACTACACTCTGTAGCAAAATGACTGAAACGAAGTCTCATTATCCTATTTGGCCTGAAAAAAACAAAAACAAAAATAGTAATTGATAATTATCATAACTATTAAACATTGGAGAAAAAAAAGACTAAGAATTTACAAGAAAAGAAATAGTTATAAACAGCATTCCTCCATTTGTCAAAGACTCACTTAGTACTTACTATGTCCAAGAGGGCATTAAACATGCAATGGGAAACAAAACAGATGTGGTCCATGAGGCCTGGGGCTTTGCAGTCCATTTAGCAGTCTAGGACAGCCAGTGTTTAACAGCCTCTGACCAATGCATTAGCCCTTCCACTTCGCACTTCCTTTCTTATTCAACTTCAGATTCCACACTCTTCATTTCACAAACACACCTGTCAGTTCTCTAAACTTGCCTGCCCTCTGCCTCTTCATGGCACTGCCTGGCAAAAGCCCTCGTCTACAGGAAAACATTTATCAGTTTTGACTTAGATTGAATCCAAAGAAAACTGAGCTGTACTGGAGAAGTCCTGCCACCAGGCAGACTGCTTCCAGTACCCATCTCTGCTCAGCACTTCACATGACACTTGGATTCTGCCCGCAGTCCTACCACTATCTCCCTCTCCCTCTCCACAATCACTAATTTTCAGGGACTATTTCAAACCTTCCAATTTCACCTTCCTGTTTATGCTTTGCACCTAGACAAAAATCCATGAAATTCCCATTTCCTAAAACAGATAAACCTATTTCTACCTACATCTCTCAAATATTTAATATTTCCCTCTCATGGGAAAATATTAAGCAGATTTAAATCTGCTTAGTATCCCATATTTAACAAAGCAAAACATAAAAGTTCTGATGAGAATGAGTTCATTGAAGAGATTAGTAAAATGGAAAACAATGTCACTCTTCTCACAAAAGTTTCTTGAAATATAAGAAGTTGTTTTTCCCCCCCATTAATGTGGCATTTAGCTACCAGGTACTGGGTTTTTAGCTGTTACTTTTAAATAAATTCTTAAATAGTATTTTTCACATAAATATTCAGTAATATTACTCACAAAACATAAACAGATATAGATATAACCCATATAAACTAAAGTTATTTGGAATCTTCAAAGGTAAAGAGTATGAAGAGGTTCACAGACTAAAAAAGTCTAAGAAATATGCCATAACAGTCTACCATGAAGAGAAGGAAAAAAAGGAAGCAAAAGCTGGAGGGATACATGTGGTCCAGAGAATGGGCATTCATGTAAGAATGGTTAGTCTGATTTTTTTCATCACAATAACAAAATAGGTATTTAGGAAAAAACACAATATTATAATATCATAAGGCACTAAGCAAACAGTTAAAAAATATTCTAGCAGTTTTTAACCATTGCCATTGAAAATATATAAATTTCTGTTGTGTACAATTCATTTCTGTTAAATGTACTTGAAGCTTTTTTTAAATTAACAAGGAAAATTAAGGTGCTAGAATATATACATCAGTTGTAGAGAGCTTTCTTAGCCTACACAAGGTCTTGCATTCGATCTCCAGCATTGCCAAGAAAAAAATTTTAAAAAAATTTTTAAAAATCAAAAATCACTTGTCAAATGAAAAGTTATCAAATAAGAAATATTTTAAGTACTTTATGGTACAAATTACTAATTTCATTTGTAGGAAAAGTAATGTCATATTGAGCTCTATCCTAAAAATAAACTTAAAAATAAAGTCAGCCATTACTACTTACTGTCCTTCAATGAGCCACGTGCACTTCGTTTTATATTTATAATTTCCAGGTCCATCTGTTACAAACCCCGAAGATCCAGTCAGTCTGTAATTCAAATTAAAAACAAAAAGTCTGTCAGAATTTCATACATTAATAATTTATTAGTTCTCAAAATATTACAAATTAAGTAGATTGGGCACACCAATGCATGTTATAGTAGAAAATGACTAGACAGTTATATTCAGATTGAACAAATTTTGCCACACACTTTTAAAAAAGGATACATAAACATTAAAATCAAAGAGATGAACAACAATGAAAAAAAAAACTGCTTAAATCTTTTTGAGACATGGAAGTCCTACTTTGTACCATTAAAAAGGGCCACCAGAACTTATTTATAAATATGAAAAATACTACATAGTTACAGTTAGAAGTAAAACAGTAACACTTAAGACAGCATAATTGTAAGGGCAAGACACAAACCCCAAGACACAATGAACCCAGCCACCTACCCATCAAGGCCATTTAGCTGCTACTTCTGAAGTGGCCATCTACCATTCTTCCATAAGCAGAGTACCCCCTGTCTTCCCATACTTGTGCCATGCCTTAGTTTTTTTTAATAGTTTTAGATCTTGCCAATATGATAGGCAGACCCTGTTATCTAATTCTTTTGACTGCTATTAATCCTAATGTCTGAATATCTTCTCATGTTTTGGCTATCTGCATTTCCTCCTTTGTGAACTAAGATTTCATATTCTTTGCTTACTTTGCTACTAAGCTGGTTTTTTTTTTTTTTTCAAATTAATGTTTAGGAGCTCCTTTTATGTATTATGTCACATATACAATATTTTCTATAAAAATATTTTCCTACTTCACTTTTTCTTTTATGCTTTGTATTCTAGAGTCTCTAGCTACACAGAAATTTTTAATATATAAGAAGGATGCTATTTCTTTTCTCAAAGCTATTTCCAGATCATTTTCCCTCCCTCTTCTATCAACAATGTCAGCCTCTCTGAAACAGCCAATCTCTTCTGGATCTGCCTCCCTTATTTTCTGGGTCAGCTACTGACATCTCAGTCACTCCTCCTCAGACACTGAAAATATTAACAAACCATTCATTGTCTTCCATTCATCTGCATCAAAATCCAAGATTCTTTCCAAAATCCAGCCTATTTCATTTTTTTTTTCATTTTTTTATTAGAGCATTATAGTTATATATAATACTTGAGTTCATTTTGACAAAATCATACATTCATGAAATTTGATTTCAATTCCCAATCCTCCACCCCGAAAATTTTAAGATGATTTTTCTTGGCCTTCCCCTTTCAAATCTCTCTGACCTTATACTAATCATTTGGCTATTCACTAAAAAAAGGGAATTTCAAGTTAAAAACTGGCAAAATTTAAAAGGGAAAAAAAAAAAACACCTATAGTTCATGAGGGGTTGTGAATAGCATATTCTCAAACATTGTTGGCTAAATTGTGAATTGTTACAGCCTTCTGGAAAAATCACTGACAACGTGGTTAACAATGAAAATTAGTTTAAGTTGCAGAGGACACAACATCTTTATTTATTTATTTTTACGTGGTGCTGAGGATAGAACCCAGTGCCTCATATGTGCGAGGCAAGCACTCTACCACTGAGCCACAATTAGTATTTCTTTTTGGCCCAGTAATTAAGGCATTTCAACAATATGAGGCCAGGAATATCAATAATAAATAAACTCCTTGCCATTACCAGTTTTTCAGATCAAAAATACACTCAGGATAATGCTACAGTAGAAACAACAGGGAAACCTTCCAGGAGGCAGGTTTCAAAGGAATCAACATAATTATTTTTTTCTAATTTATTTGTATTTTTACACAATAATGTGCCCTATGAAATTTTTCAACTGTTAAGATTTTCCTTCTAATCAAGTACCTTGAACACTGACAAACTTTAAGCAAAGTTCTTTGGACATTAAAAAAAAAGAGAGGGAAAGAAAGGAAGGAAGGAAGGGAAATCAGCCGGGTGGCACATGCCTGAAATCCTAGCAACTTGGGAGGCTGAGGCAGGAGGGCAGAAAGTTCAAGATCAGTCTCAGCAACTTAGGGAAATCCTGACTCAAAATAAAAAAATAAAAGGGGCTGGGGATGTGGCTCAGTTGTTATGCACCCTTGGATTCAATCCCTAGTACCAAAAAAAAAAAAAAAAAAGCTATTGCAGGAATCTATAACACTATTTCCACTATTCCTTTATATAAACATAGTTAATTAAAAACACTATTCTCTTATAATATACTCTTATTATTTTATCTACTAGATATAATTCTGTAAAACTATTTTTTCTTTAGTGGTCCTAGGGATTAAACCCAGAGCCTCCCCCATACTAGACCAATGTTCCACCACTGGTTTAAATCCCCAACCCTTTGTACATTTTATTTTGAGAGAGCATCTTGCTAAATTGCCAAGGCTTACTTCAAACTTGTGATCCTCCTGGCTCAGCCTATACTTAGTAGTTGAGATTATGGGCCTGTGCCACCAACCATGAGTCCTGAAAACATATACGACTACTCTCACATTTCTCACATTATTTTTGCTTAATGGATTTCTTTATTTGGCCATCTAAGCTTATAACTATTAGACTCTCAAAAGATGTCCCTTTTATCATGGTTAATACCTGCTTAGTTTGATGCTTAAATACCAACTTATCTAACATTATTAATGATTACATAATTTTGTTGTTATTTGTCTGTGCCTTCTATCTTTATCCAACTTTTTTATTTTTATTTTTTCCAGTACCATGGGTATTTTATCACTGAGTCTCATGTTCCACCCCCAACCAACTTTCTTTTTTTTCAAACAGGGTCTTACTATGTTGCCAAGGCAATCCTCAACCTTGTGCTCTTCCTGCCTCACTCAGCCACCTGGGTAGATGGGATTACAGGTTATATGCCACCATGCCCAACAGATCTTCACCCAACTCTTTCACATTTATTAACAAGTTTTCAAGTTTGTTTGTTCTAAATATGACCTGGTTAGGTTTTGTTTCTTATCTTAGTCTAACAGTGTTTTACTGGCATGTTATCTATTCATATTTAATATAATGGCCACTGTACTGATTTGATTACTTCAATCAAATATTTTAATAAACCTTAAATGAGGAGTAATTCACATATAACAAAATGTGACCACTTAAAATGTACAATTTGATAAGTTTTGATAAGTGTATACATATGTAACCTTCCTCATATGATACAAAGCAGTTCCATTACCCCCCAAGTTCCCTCATACCCCACTGAAGGTAATCCTTCCCAACTGCTGTCTCAAGCACTGACCACATTTCTGTGACAACAGATTAGTTTTACAGAACTTGATTTAACAGAATCATAGAGGCATTTTTGTGTCTCACTACTTTTGATCAGCATGTCTGAATACTGTATGCATCAATAGTTTGTTCTTTCATATTGCTGGGTAGTTAGTACTCTACTGTATGAATATGCCACAAATTCTTTATCCATTCTCTTAATGAACAATGACCACTCAGATTATGTAGTTTTAGGCTGTCATAAATAAAGCTACTATGAAATATACAAGTATTTGTGTGGACATGTGTGTTTATTTCTCTTGGACAAATATAAAAAATGAAATTTCTGGGTCAAAGTATATTATGTACTTAAATTTATAAGAATTGCCAAACTGGGCTAGGGTTGTGGCTCAGTGGTACAGCACTTGTCTGATATGTGTAAGGCACTGGGTTCAATTCTCAGCACTATATATAAACAAAAATAAAGGTCCATTGAGAACTAAAAAAAAAAAAATTGCCAAACTATTTCCTAGTAGTGATGCCATCTTATACTCCCACCATCAAAGTATGAGAGTTCAATTTACTCCATGTTGATGCCCACACTTGTTATAATTAGACTTTTCATTGTCCATTCCAGTAGGTGTTGTGGTACCTCATGGTTTAAATTTGTATTTCTCTGGTAATTAGAGATTTTTAGTATCTTTCAGATGTTTATGGTTCATTTCCACATATTATCTTATGACATTTGTTCTTATCTTTGCCAATTTTTGGCTTTTCTTTTTAGTGATACATAATAGTAAAATCTTTATATGACAGTAAAATCTATCACACACACACATAAGCATGGACTATATCTTATATGGTGTTTTGTCTTCTATTTCTGAGTTATAAGTTCTTCATATATTCTAGATGCTAGTCCTTTACCAGACATATATTTTGCAAATATTTTGTGAATCTACATCTCACCTTTTTGTTTCCTAAAAGGTGGAAAAGATTTTAATTTTGACTAAGTCCAATTTTTCTATTTTATGGTTAGTGCTTTCTGAATCTTAAAACAAATCTTTGCCTATACCAAAGGAGGAAAGATTTTTGTCTCCCATTTTCTGTACTAGTTTTAGCTTTTACACTTAAATCTTTAGTTCAATTTGGGTTAACTTTTGTGGATGGTATGAAACACAGTTCAAGATTCACTTCTTTTTTATATGAACATATAGGTGTTTCAGTATCATTTGCTGAAAAGGCTATTCTTTCCTCATTCAGTACCTACTTTGTTAAAAAAAAAAACAATTAGCTATGAATATGTGGGTCTATTTCTGGACTTTCTCTTCTATATGAGACTCATCTTCATGCGTATCACAATATTTGATTACTCTCATTTTATAGTCTTGAAACAAAGTAATATAATTCCTCCAAATCTGTTCTTTTCAAGGTTATTTAGATTTTAATTGGCTAATCTAGGCCCTTCGCAATCCAATATATTTTTTGTCCAAATCTACAAACAAAAAAGTTTGCAAGGATTTTGATAAGTATTGTATTTAATCCATAGATTAAATTTGGGGAGAATAAATATCCTTACATTCCATAAGTATGTATATCCCTCCATTTACATAAAACTTCTTTCAATATTTCTAACCAATGTTTTTTCACTTTTTAGAGTACAAGCTTGGTATATCTTTTATCCTCATTTTATACCTTTAAAAATTTGCTTTGATTTTATTTTCCAACTGTTTCTTGCTAATAATAGAAATATAATTGATTATAGAATATCTTAGTATCTAACAACCTTAATACATTCACTTAATAGTTTAATACAGTCATT